TGGTTAAACGATGGCTATATTGTGAAGGAAAGCTGATCTGGAACTTGCTAATGGATTGGCAGGGTGAGAGAGGGAATCACTTGTAGCTGTGTGCACCTGTCTTTCAAATGCTGGTCTGTGCTGGGGAGCTCAGGGCAGGCCGTAAGTGAATAGGACCTGTTCACTGGAGAACGTCCCTGGTGGCACTTGCCCAGCTGCCCTGATGAGCCCTGCTTCACTCATTTAACTGATCAGGGGGTCGGTAAAATGATCTATTGAACTTTGGTTTTCTGGGTGGGACCACTTTTTGTTTGTTTCAGGTTTGTTGTAGAGGTGTGCGTGCCCTACAGGGGCGCTCCACAGGCACACCTTTCACTCTGCTTACGGTAGGGGTTAATGCTGCAGCTCCATATACAGGGGCCAGAGCCTGCCCAGCCATCCCGTAGTCATCTCACGGACTATCCTGACGGTTGCCTTATAGCTACTTCTGCTTGCCAAACTGAGGGTCCTTGGCCAAAGATAATGGCTTCCAGATCTGCCAGGGCCTCTTATAGTGTCTGCTTACATTATGGTTCTCTCTACTTAGGTTTATTACTAATGTGCTCCCACTTCCTATCTTCCAGAAATTTATCAAAGTTGGTGGTCTGCTGTTGTCTTCAGTGCTGCTATGGTTATATTACTTTTCGTCATTTCGGTGGCAAGGAGGGTAGGCAAACGTGTGTGCTTACGTCTCCCATCCTAAGCTACTGATTGCTCCTTAGGAATGTGAAGGGAATATAGAAGAAAAGTAATTTGGGATAGATAAGATTTTTTAGATTCAGAGGTTAGAAAATGAATTGGCTAATATGTAACATGGTATTCTTTATCTAGGGCTGACATATGTCTGGCTTATTCTACTTTTCAGTTATGGTGATGGGATAAACATTGGATGGGGGTGTGTGTGTATGTTTTTATACTTTAAGTGCTGGGATACATGTGCAGAATGTACAGGTTTGTTACATAGGTATACACATGGCATGGTGATTTGCTGCACCCATCAACCCATCATCTACATTAGGTATTTCTCCTAATGCTATCCCTCCCCCAACCCCCCACCCCACACAGGCCCCAGTGTGTGATGTTCCCCTCCCTGTGTCCACGTGTTCTCATTGTTCAACTCCCACTTATGAGTGAGAACATGCGGTGTTTGGTTTTCTGTTCCTGTGTTAGTTTCCACCTTCATCCGTGTCCCTGCGAAGAACATGAACTCATCCTTTTTTATGGCTGCATAGTATTCCATGGTGTATATGTGCTACATTTTCTTTATCCAGTCTATCATTGATGGACATTTGGGTTGGTTCCAAGTCTTTGCTATTGTGAACAGCGCTGCAATAAACATACCTGTGCATGTGTCTTTATACTAGAATGATTTACAATCCTTTGGGTATGTACCCAGTAATGAGATTGCAGGGTCAAATGGTAATTCTAGTTCCAGATCCTTGGTGAATCACCACACTGTCTTCTACAATGGTTGAACTAATTTACTCTCCCACCAACAGTGTTAAAGGGTTCCTATTTCTCCACATCCTCTCCAGCATCTGTTGTTTCCTGACTTTTTAATGATCACCATTCTAACTGGTGTGAGATAGTATCTCCTTGTGGTTCTGATTTGCATTTCTCTAATGACCAGTGATGATGAGTTTTCTTTCATATGTCTGTTGGCTGCATAAATGTTTTCTTTTGAGAAGTGTCTGTTCATATCCTTTGCCCACTTCTTGATAGGGTTGTTTTCTTATAAATTCATTTAAGTTCCCTATAGATTCTGGATGTTAGCCCTTTGCCAGATGGTTGCCTGTTCACTCTGATGATAGTTTCTTTTGCTGTGCAGAAGCTCTTTAATTAGATCCCATTTGTCAATTTTGGCTTTTGTTGCCATTGTTTTTGGTATTTTAGTCATGAAGTCTTTGTCCATGCCTATGTCCTGAATGGTATTGCCTAGGTTTTCTTCTATGGTTTTTATGGTTTTATGTCTTACATTTAAGTCTTTAATCCACCTTGAGTTAATTTTTGTATAATGTGTAAGGAATGGGTCTAGTTTCAGTTTTCCGCATATGGCTAGCCAGTTTTCCCAACACCATTTATTAAATAGGGAGTCCTTTCCCCATTGCTTGTTTTTGTCTGTTGGGTTTTTTTTTTCCTTAGATTGTCTCTTAGATTGTGGAGTCTGAGAAAGTGTAATTTAAAATGTTCTGTCTAGGTATATCTGTGGGAAGTCTTACATCATCCATACTTAGGTTTCTAATTAGTTGTCTGCAATTATGTGAATATAGGAAACAACCTATAATTTTACATTTTTGTCTTATATTGGGGAAATGTGTTCACCTTAAATTCTAACACAAATACGATACAAAAGACTGCTTTAGGGAGATACCCTGAACATGTAAGAATGAAAACATATTTTAAATGTAGAGTCTGCACAAGTCGCAAAATTGTGTATATACTGAAACATTTTCCTGTTGTATTCCTTCAAGGTCTGTTTCCTTACTAAGCTGTGTGTTGTGCTATGGGTGTTAATTGTAAAGTTAAACCTTACTACTATTTATGATGGTTTTGTTTTTATACTACATTGGGAGAAGTTTTTTACGTCCCCGTGGGTTGGGCTGTAGGAACATTTAGTTTAATGATGCACTGATGCGAGAATTCACTTTAGGATAAAAGATGGAAGGGTCCCCTTCCCCAGTGCCACAGGGCCAAAGGTGGTGGCGGTTCGTTTTTCTATGCAGTGTGTAGCCTGTCAAAATTTGTTAGTCTTGTTGTAGGACTCTTTCCTTAGTTCAGCTAAAGACAGGGGGTCCATGTCACACAGCCACGAAAAATTCGGCTCACAGACAATTTGAAGAGGGCAAGATTTATTGGGTGAAAAGGAAACAGGGACTGTCTACAAGGCCAAAGTCCCAGCTAGTGTGCTTCCCACCTTGCAGATTGAATCCCAGGTTCCACCCAGGAGGAAGAGGGAGGGGCCAGGCTCCTCCCCACTGCAAATGGTGCGAACTTCCTGAGGCTCCACCCCAGTGCGCACTCCTCCCAGCGTGCAGAGCAGATGGAGGTTTTCCGGGAACCCCTTTGCATTCGGCTGTCTCAGTCTTACCCCAATATCTTTCTCATTTTAATCTGTCCAAGGTGTCTTACATTCCCTGTGTTTAGCTATTGCCAAGATGAGTGTTCAGATGTCTTTTCTCCTAGTGAAATGCATTTTCATGAAAACAAGAATTTGAACCCAGCAATCTATTATTGGAATTATCTATCCAGGGAGAATATTGAGAAAAATTTGAGTGGGGGCTTCGCTAGACCATCTCCAGATTTGGTGATCTGGTAAGAAGATACACAGGACTCAGCATATAGTTGTACTCAGGGCTTTCATTCTAGTGAAAAAGCAAAGTCAGCAAAGGGAAAAGGTGTAAGGGGGAGAATCTGGAGGAAACCAGGCAGAAGATTCCAGGACTCCTTTCCCTGTGATGTCACAAAGGACAGGCTTAGTTTTCCCAGCAATGAGAAATTCTACAATGTGTGAAATGTTGTCTATCAGGGAAGCTCGCTAGAGACACTGCACCCAGAATTTTTGTTGGGGACTAGTCACTAGACACCTTCTGCCTGGCCTGCACCAAAATCGCAGACTCCCAGAAGGAAAGATGTTTAGCATAAACTACATTTTTCATACAAACAGTTCAGCCATGAGTCATTCTTACCATGGAATGTTGGGAGCACTCCTGAAATCTGGCTTCCCAAACATCAGCAGTAAGCCAACCTTGTCAGCAGACTTTTCTACGGATAGTAGTCTCGAGACTGCTGTGTTGACTCTTCTGCATGGTATTAGATACCCAGGTGCCTTGTATTTTCTAAGTATTTAAAATACTGTGTATTAGCTGGGCGTGGTGGTGCATGCCTGTAGTCCCAGCTACTTCATGGGCCTGAGGCAGGAGGATGGCTTGTGCCTGTGAGGTCGAAGTTGCAGTGAGCCAAAGTGAGAGAGACCCCGTCTCTTAAATTTTTTTTTTTTTTTTTTAAAAATACTGTGTAATAAAACAAAAGATGTAATGTGGATAGTCCCCAGACTGCCTGTACTGGGACTGTATGTGTTTTGTATGTTGATTGACACTTAGGTTTGTAATAGTGTTAGAGCCTGTGGGTTACTGAGTTATTCAGATTGTGGACAGCTCCTTCCGTTCCCTTTCTTTCTATAATTCTTTTTTTCTAGCTTCCCATTGACCAAACACACCTCCTGATCCCTTTCTAAACATCTAATTCTTCTGCACTGTTGTCAATCCATAACTGACCAGGCAGATTTGCTTTATCACTGTCTTTGTTACACAGGGAAGAATCACTTCAGTCTTAACGGCGGTAAGATTGCTCTGGGTAAAGTGCTGACATTAACGTATTTACCCAGAGGGTATGGAGAGATCATGTGGGAGGGTGGACAAGTAAACAGCAGTACATTTTGTTGAATGAGAATAATAAACTACCTAAACTCAGTTTTAATTATTATGCCTTTTAAACCTTTTTTTTTTTTTTTTTGAGATGGAATCTCGCTTTGTCACCCAGGCTGGAGTGCAGTGGCACGATGTCAGCCACTGCAACCTCCGCCTCCGGGGTTCAAGCGATTCTCCTGCCTCAGCCTCCCGAGTAGCTGGGACTACAGGCATGTGCCACCATGCCCGGCTAATTTTTGTTTTTGTTTTTTTTTTTTTTAAGTAAAGACGGGGTTTCACTATGTTGGCCAGGCTGGTTTTGAACTCTTGACTTCGTGATCCGCCCCCTTCGGCCTCCCAAAGTGATGAGATTACAGGCATGAGCCCCCGTGCCCAGCCTGTTTTAAATATTCTTGATCAAAGTTACTAACGGGGTATCACTTGAGGTTTTTGGCAATAATGACCAAAGAGTGAAGGGGTTGGGGGATGATGACTTTAGCATCAATTTTACAGGGTAAGAAAAGGCAACAAATTATAATTTGCCTTAACAATATTATCTTAAACATATTTTGACAGCGATTCAGGATTATGAAACTGCTCAGGAACACAATGAAAATGATCAGCAGATTCGAGAAGGTCTAGAGAAAGCACAAAGATTATTGAAACAGTCGCAGAAACGAGATTATTATAAAATCTTGGGAGTAAAAAGGTGAATTATTAATTTAAAATTTACTTTGCTATTTTTAATCAACTCTGTTTCAAAGCTAATCATTGCTCTTTTTCCTCTCTGATTCATTTTCTTTACTTATGTAATTTCAGTCATATGGATTAAACCCTAACAATCTTTAACATTAGAAAGCTACTTTGAGTATTTTATAGGCAAGTTTCTTTGATAGAGACCAATAATGCAACCACAGAGAATTAGTAGTTGGCAACAAAGATGACACTGTAGCATGAATGGGTCCTAGGCCTGGATTTTTTAAGAAGGGTAAAGGGGTAGGAGTGAGCTTTCTTTTGGTGGGGATGGAGGAGGAGATGGAAAAAGGAAGAAAAAGCCTTCTCTAGGCCTAAAAATAAAGTAGTACTTTCAGAATTAAGTCTGAAATTAAGATCTACCTTATATAAAAGTACATACTAAGTAAATGATACACCCCTCAGTGGTTCGCTAAGTGAACCATCATCTTTCAAAATTTGGAATCTTTGTGTTTACTATTAAGTAAGCTAATGCAGAAGCATAATTGAAAGTGGCGGTCAGAGTCATATCTTTTTAATGCCAAGAACTGAATTTTGGTAACTTGCAAATTCAGAAAGTTAAAAAATTCATTGATGTACCTTTTTTAAAAAAGGGAGAATTCTAAAGATCAGGAGTGCTTTATTCTCAGTAATCTTAGTGAGCATCCAGGGAAGCCTGATGTCAGCTTTAATGATCATCCAGAACTGTATGCAGATCTTTGGTCTGTGATACCATTGGAACTATTTTATACCAGTTTGTTAATTGCCAGTGGGATCTTAATCAGCTCTTCTGATTTTTATGATAGTATGTTAGACATTTCTCCACTAATTATTATTTTACCACCCCTCAGAAATGCCAAAAAGCAAGAAATCATTAAAGCATACCGAAAATTAGCACTGCAGTGGCACCCAGATAACTTCCAGAATGAAGAAGAAAAGAAAAAAGCTGAGAAAAAGTTCATTGACATAGCAGCTGCTAAAGAAGTCCTCTCTGATCCAGGTATTATTGGGTTTTATTCCTTTGACTCGTCCTAGAGGTGGTGTGAGAAGCGAGGGGGGAACGTGCGGTGGGTTCTGCATGTGGGGCTGCATAGGCAGTGACGGGTCCTGAGCCCGGTTCCAGAGGTCCAGTTGTGTGCCTGCCCTCCTCGTTCAGCCCTCTTATGCTCCTGTTGCAGGGTACAGTGGAAAGATCATCCAATGTGGAATCAGAGGGCCTGAGTTTGAATCTTTTTCCTACTCAAACAAGTTATCAGAACTTTTTGGTCTCAGTTTTTTTCAATACTGAGCATAAGAGGATCTCTCAGGTTCCCTCTAACCTCAAAGGTCAATGATGAATTTTCTCCACCAAGCTCACAGGAGCTTGATGAGGAAACCAGTTTGCCAGGCTGGATTGCACTGAGTGGGAGAACAGCAGATGTCTGGCCTAGGGCCTGCTATGCCCCATATCTGTTCACCAGGAATCTTGCCCTGAATCATATGATCATTAGATCAACAGGCTTATATGTGTGTTTTTTTAAAATTTTTATTTTTTGTAGAAATGAGGTGTCGCTGTGTTGCCCAGGCTGGTCGTTAACTCCTGGGCTAAAGTGATCTTTCCAACTCAGCTTCCCAAAGTTGTGAGATTACAGGTGTGAGCCTCTGCACCTGGCCACGTGTGTTCTTTTGCTGTACACTAATATGGCCTGGAAATTTAATAAGAGGGAGACAGGCTAAGCATTGAGGTGATATTGGACAATGCTTTGCTGTTGCCAGAGAATTTCATGTTAAGCTGACACTGCTTTTTTGTGGCCTTCCATGTCAGTGGGAGCCAAAGCTGTGATCTGAGCTAGACAAATTAAACAAAGAGAGGAAAGTTTTATTTGTCAAATCTTTTTGGAGCACCTACTTATGCAGTGGAATTGAAGGTAAATGATGCTTTGTTTTCAAGTAATTTATAATCCAGTAAAGGAGAAATGTACTTCCCTTATCAAGTAGTATTGGATACATACTGTCCTGTTACTCAGCAAATATTGAGTGGCTGCAACCTGCCTTGAGCAGTTCAATCCTCTTAAGTTTGTGCAGTGCACAGAAGTGATAGTGTATCAGACTGGGAGTCAGGATCTTCTTCTGGGAGGAGGACTGAGGGGGACTTTGGGCTAAGTTTTAAGGTAGCAGGGAGCCAACGGAGGGGATGAGTATCCTTGCACAGAGGCATGCACTGAGGAAAGAGCTGCAGGTCCTTTTTCTTTCCTCTTGTTCTTATGTTCAGGATGAACTATCTTTTCTTTTAAAGACTTTAAAGTTTTTTACTATGCATATATCAAAACACATGTATCATATATTTATGAATATGTTTAGTAGAATCACATGATTATGCCAATCTGAAACTTAATTTTCACTTGACATAAATCTTGGCTATAGTTTTTTTCTCACTGAAAAATAGCTACCTCATTCTTTGAAATGTATGCAGACCACTCCATTGAATTTTTAAGTAATTACATGATGTGGATCTGAATTCACTTCTCTTTCCATTCACAGCATCCTTTCTCTGGGGCTATTATCACCCCCTATGTAGTCCACTACTGTTCTAAGTGCTAACACCCTAGATTAATTTTGCCTGTGAGATATCAAAGATATGGGGCCTGAGTCTAACTGCATTAGCTTTTGTAAAACAAAGCTGAGTTTCAGATCAACTACAATACCCACTTAGTTATTCATACTCAGCATAAGAGCCCTCCATTTTTACTGGTGGGTTTCCTCCTCCTAAATGTGTGGTTTCAGATTAACCTCCCAGAATGAAGTAAACTGGCTTTTCTCTAAGTATCTTTGAACCGCTAAAGGACAAGTTACTGTGAGAGAGCAAAGTGGGACTTGGGATTATTTTTATATTTGCATTTTTTCTTTATTTTCCATTATTAAAAAACCTAGCTATATGCTAAGTCTTTTTTTTTGTAAGTTCAGGGGCACATGTGCAGGTTGTTACACAGGTAAATGTGTGTCATGGGGGTTTGCTGTACAGATTATTTCATCACCCAGGTATTCAGTCTAGGACCCATTAGTTATTATTCCTGATCCTCTCCCGCCTCCCATCCTTCACCCTCCAATAGGCCCCAGTGTCTGTTGTTCCCCTTTATGGGTCCATGAGTTCTCATCATTTAGCTCCCACTTGTGAGAATATGTGGTATTTGGTTTTCTGTTCCTGCATTAGTTTGCTAAGGATAGTGGCCTCCAGCTCCATCCATGCCCCTGCAATGACATGATCTCATTTTTTATGGCTGCATAGTATTCCATGGTGTACATGTACCACATTTTCTTTATCCAGTCTATCACTGATGGGCATTTAGGTTGATTCCATGTCTTTTCTATTGTGAATAGAGCTGCAATAAACAGACACGTGCATGTGTCTTTATAATGGAACAATTTATATTCTTTTGGGTGTATACCCAGTAATGAGATAGCTGGGTTGAATGGTATGTCTGTCTTTAAGGAATTGCCACTGTCTTCCACAATTGCTGAATTAATTTACACTCCCACCAATAGTGTATAAGTGTTCCTTTTTCACCACAACCTTGGCAGCATCTTTTTTTAAACTTTTTAATAGCCATTTTTTATTTGCAATAATGATCTAATTATTTGCTCTAGTGATCAGTGATGTTGAGCTTGTTGTCATATGATGGTTGGCCACATATATGTCTTCTTTTGAGAAGTGTCTGCTCATGTCCTTTGCTCCCTTTTTAATGGAGTTGTTTTCTTGTACATTTCAGTTCCTCCTAGACCTTTGTCAGTTGCATAGTTTGCAAAAATTTTCTTCCATTCTGTAGGTTGTCTGTTTATTCTATTGATAGTTTCTTTTGCTGTGCAGAAGCTCTTTAGTTTAATTAGATCTCATTTGTCAATTTTTGCTTTTGTTGCCATTTCATGATGGAAACGCCAAAAGCAATCTTTGCCCATGCCTGTGTCCTGAATAGTATTTGCCTAGGTTGTCTTCCAGGGTTTTTCTAATGGCTCTGAGGACAAGAGCGCTTTCTTTCTATCCCTGCAATATTCCTCTCTATTGCCTTCTCCCATGTCTCTGCATTGGTCTCTTTCTGCTCAGGGCTCAGAGGCCCCGCTGTGGGGGCACCAATCGCATGGGAGGGAAAGGTGAGTCTCCTGGAGTTGGATGTTATGGAGGCCCCTCTCTCCTCATGTCTGAGGAGCCTTAGTGCTGTTTGGATTAAACTGAGTCTCGAGAATGCTCATTAGACGCTTGTTGAGGTCATTGCCTTACAGACTTCATTTTGGGGATTAGGGTAGTGAGCTGCCTGTTTCAGTGGAAGTGCAGACCTTTGGAAGTTTCTTTTTCTTGAATTATTTTTTTCCAGATAATTTCACTGGGTAGTTACCAAGCTTGGGTAGCTGCTTCTGGAGTGAGATTTAGAGGCCTGAACCTCATCCTCTTTGTGGTGAATTTCTCTAGTCTGTTTCTTCTGGGTGGGAGTGGGAGAGCCTGGATTTGAATGTCAGGCACAACTCTCAGTAACTGAAAAGTAAGTAGCTCCTCAAGCCCATCCACCCTCCTTTGCCCAAAGAAAACATTCCCCCTACCCCTATACCTTAGATATTATCTGGTTCTTAATTTTCTGATTTCTTTCTAGAAATGAGAAAGAAGTTCGATGACGGAGAAGATCCCTTGGATGCAGAGAGCCAGCAAGGAGGCGGCGGCAACCCTTTCCACAGAAGCTGGAACTCATGGCAAGGCTTCAATCCCTTCAGCTCAGGCGGACCGTTTCGATTTAAATTCCACTTCAATTAAACCAACTGTTTTTCTGCTCTTCTTCCTTAATTTTTTTAAAGATTAAAAACAAAGAAATCTTCCTCCGGGACCCTAATGAAAAAAGAATTCAAATCTTTGTTTGTCCATGACCAAAGAGTTGCTTTAATAGGAAAAAAATCTGTTCTCATCCCTGTTAGATTTATGGTTAATGGGTTTGCAACGGCAGGGAGGCAAGGAATGGTTCTATTTCTGACAGAGCAGCCTGCATCTGTTTTATGCTGTGTGGAGGAAGTGGTCTGAGGCAGGCTCACCTGTGGACGTGCTCACGTATTCTGTATTTTTCTACACTGGAGCTGAGATTCTTCTCTTCACAGCCTTGCAGAGTAAGTCTGTGCCTACAAATGTAAGAAGGAGCTGTAATCTTCATGAGAATGGTTAGTATTCTTAAAGAGAACATGAACGGTTTTGAGCTGTGCTTCGATGTGGTCTAGTCACTTGTGAGTAGCTGTGAAAGCTTTAGTGTGCATGTGTTTACACCTCTGTGGTCTGTCAACATGGCTGTCACTGAAGGAGCAAGAGACCATCTTTTAGGAACCCTGGCACCAAATGGTAATATATCCAGGCTTAGACTTTGGATTAATGTTAAATGTACATTTTTTTTTTTTGGTTCAGTACCTGAAGAATACTGAAACTTGAATCTATAAATTCCTATGGACCCTTTTAATATTAAACACAACAAATTAAAAGTTGTGGGTCAAATAGGTTCAGATAAAATAGTGGTGGTATTTAAAATAATATTGCTGAAGTGCAGATTGAAATACTTTTTAAACAACTGAAGTTGTGAGTTTTTATAGAGAATTTCATGTAACAAGACTGGCTTAGAAACGTAAAGTTGCACAGTCAACATAAATAAATACAGAATTCCCACTTTTAAGTAAAGACAGTTGGCAGCTTCTCCTTCTCTTATACCAAGGCTTGACCTTATCTTAAAGGTCTCTGGTGCCTCCCACATGGGACTTGTCTGCTGGTATGTGTTAAACAGTAGGCCTGCCCTTCTACCAGATCTTGATGCCTCTGATGTTCTCCTGCCTACAAGAAAATACAGGCTTGCAAGTTTAGTCAGGTCTGGCTGTATTTCCACTGTTGTTTCATTTAATAAGATGACATCTCCTCTTGAGATACATTCTTCTTACCTTTTAAGAAGATACTGTTTAAGAAGTGAACTATTCAGTCTTTGTATACTGAATGCTTTTTCCCTAAAAATTGTTACTTTAATCAAGAATATTGAATATTTATGGAACTCTTGATGCTGCATTTGAAAGCTGAGGGAATTACTTTAGATAGGAATTGCTACCTTTATTCTGGAAAGGTTTTGTTTCTGCCTCAAAGCATTTTGAAGTGTTTTAACCATTAAAGGGTCTAATTTTTTTAATGAAATCAAGCATTTTAATTCACTGTGGGAGGCATCCTGACCACAGACATCCATAACAGCAAAGCACAAACCGTTTTCATCCGTAGTCTTATCCTGAAATATACATGGACAAACTTTTAACTGGGAGACAAAAACCACATAGTTGAATTGAGCAAAACATTTAAGTGCTTTCTGCATCTATTTAGGAGTCTATTTCTTACCAATAAACTTGACAGTGCATTTGGAAAACTAGTGAACACCTTGCAGCTTTCGTTTTGCTTCAATGTTTCGATTCAAGCCAGTGTAAAAATAATTTCCAAGGCATTTCTGTCTATTATTTAGTAATCTCACTACTGGCTATGTCAGCAATATCTTTTTCAATCTCTTTCCTTTTGTATATGTCACTGACCTCTTTGAAATATAGTGATGGCTTTGACCTACTTTGAAAAGAATTTTCATATAGAATCAGAAAAAAAGGAAATATCAAATCACTTGCCCTCCACTTGGAGAGCACGACAGTTGCCAACAACAAGGGGTCAAGGGCCGCACAGGAGACGTGTCCCGGGCCTGACCACCTCCCACCCGCTGCCCAGAGGCTTGTTTGCATTTTCATTTTTTCTCCGCCTGTAACAACCATAGTTTCAGTTTCTAAATTCTTATCATGGATTTAAGTTAGTCATCTTAACTGATGTGCAGAGTTACTTGTCTGTTTTCAGTGAAGAGAGAGAAGCAACTCTGGTGCCACATACCAGTGCCATGGAGGGAAATGAATTCTCTGCAATCTGTTGTTTTGCTGATTCATGAAGAAAGTAACAACTGTTGAGTTTCAGCCTTGATGGCCATTGGCAATTTTCTGGTGTCCACCCAAAGGGAAAGACAGTCATTCCCTGCTTCCCCTAAACGGTGACTGAGCAGCAGCCTGGATGTTAAAGAGATAGATAGTCACTCCCCTTGCCTGACTGTAGGGTATCATTAGCCATTGTAAAACCGTACTACTTTCATTTTCCCTTGGGGACTGCAGGTGCCAGGTAAACTTTTTTTTTTTTTTTGAGACAAGAGTCTTGCTCTGTTGCCCAGGCTGGAGTGCAGGGACGCCTCCCGGGTTCAAGTGATTCTCCTGCCTCAGCCTCCAAGTAGCTGGGACTACAGGCGTGCACCACCATGCCTAATTTTTGTATTTTTAGTAGAAACGGGGTTTCACTGTGTTAGCCAGGATGGTCTTGATCTCCTGACCTTGTGATCTGCCCACCTTGGCCTCCCAGAGTGGTGGGATTACAGGCATGAGCTACCGCGCCCGGCCATCAGGCAACTTCTATGGCTCTTTCAGGAAAAGTGAAATCAGAGAGGGGTACCCTAGCTATAGCTCTGTTATATTCTGCTCTTCTTTCCTTTTTGGTGAGCTCCATGGGTGGAGTTATCAGGGGTCTGTACTTTGTGGATATTTTGCCCAGCAGGAAGTAATAGACATATCAGTCTAGAAGCACTGTGAAAAGTTTCCAAAACGGGAGACAAAATTTAACCCATTCCTCAGTTCTGAAAGTTTGTGCTGTCTTACCATGAATAGATGAAAACTTGAAAAAAATCTCGACAGCTTACTAATGTGAATCGGATGTAACATACTACTAATTCTACAATGTCTTTAGTATTAAAAATCTTTTTTAAAGTATTGGTATGAAAACAAATTTTTGTTGCCCTGATGATGGAATTTTAAAACTACCCATGGTTTAGGAGAAAACATAACTGTAAAAAAGGTAGCCAATAAAACCACAATTTGAAATTGATACCATTTTCTACTCACCATGGATGATGAAAAATTTCACCTTTAAATGGATCAGAAGTTGTCTTTGACATTTACCATGAAAAAACTACATAAAATGGCTCCCTGGTGAGGTTACAGACACAGGGCCCTGGTGATGGGCGTTGCAAAGTTTTCATCGAGCACACGGCAATGGTATAACCTAGAGAAGTTCATGCAACTTTGTTGAATGTAGTTGACTTTTCCAAATTTATAAAGGAAGAAGGCAAATGTTAATTTGCCAACAACTAATATCCTTTTTCTAAATCAGATCATTCCTTTTTTGTTAGTGGCAGTTTATCCTGTAATTTCAAATGACGTTAAGAGGTGGAATTATTTGGGGTTTTTTCTTTTTGTTTACAGAAGATCTCATTTGCTGAATGATTTAAGAGTAAAATTAGCCACTGCGTGGCTTTGTGTATAGTAACCGGTTTTGTTGCACTTGTCTGTGGCTGAAACACTTACCTGCAGTGGGAAGCCGAGCAAGGAGGAGGTAAACATTGGAGATGTTTGTGAAAATATTACTCTTACCATGAGGTTTTAGTTTGTTTTGAATGAGAAAAGACTAAGTAACTTAATCCATCTCAATGTAGTGTTTTAATAAAAAAGGAACCTAATATTTGAAATGGGTCTCAGACATGTCTACAAATATGGGTACTATTTTTATGCCCTTGTATTTTCACATTTAATAAAAATATTTATGGTCATATCAGTATTTCCATGCTTTTGATTCATTTTTGTTCTTGAATATAAAATTCTAAAAGTCCACCTTAAGAAAAGTATTTCCAACTTTGCTTCATGCAAAATCAGTGACTGAGGTGACAAAAGGGCTCTTCCTTTACACAAGCTGACAGGGAAGGTCAGAACACACAAAGCAGAAAGGGTTAAAACCTCTAAACCCTCAAAAGTCCTAGGACAACTGAGGACTTAAAAAGTGGACAATTCTTCCATTTCAGTACTATTAAAATGTAACTTAAATTGGCTTTGTCTGAACATTTTCTCTTTCATACCCCATTTGTACGTTTCTGTTAAGGTCCTAAGTTGGGAGGGAGGACACTATAGCCTATCTCAAATTTCCAGCTACAAACAGAAGGAACTGTCTTCTCAGTTAATGTATTCTGCATAGCTTAAGATCCAAGGAGAGCTACAATGTGTAAATGTATATAGAACTTTTCCAGAAAGCTCAAAGCTTTTTTTTTTTTTTTTTGAGACGGAGTCTCGCTCTGTTGCCCAGGCTGGAGTGCAGTGGCATGATCTCGGCTCAATGCAAGCTCCGCCTCCCGGGTTCAAACAATTCTCTGCCACAGCCTCCCGAGTAGCTGGGATTATAGGCGCCCACTACCATGCCTGGCTAATTTTTTTGTATTTTTAGTAGAGACGGGGTATCACCATCTTGGCCAGGCTGGTCTTGGATTCCTGACCTCGTGATCCACCTGCCTCGACCTCCCAAAGTGCTGGGATTACAGGCGTGAGCCACTGCGCCTGGCCAAAGCTTCCAAATTCTTAATCCTCATGACGTTGTGGCAATGTATGAACAGCCAGTCTGAGTCTGAAGATAAACAGCATGAACAGGTGCAGCAGGCATGAGAGCTGCAGGGAAACTGCAAGAAGGGAGATCCAGAGCCTCAGGAGCTCTCACTGAGCAGGCACCAAGCCCGCTCCCTCCCTACCTCCAGGCTCAAATCAGTGCTTCATGATCTTTAAGAAAAAAAAAAAATTCATTTTAATCTTAATGCCAGCTTACAGTTCACACCTCAGAGACCCTGAACTCTGCAAATCCTTTTATGCTGAGCAAATCCTTTGGGAATGCTTCGATGATAAACAAGAGCTTAATATGCATATTAATTTATTGCTTTATACTAGGATTCTGTTTCTAACGAAGCATACAGGAGACAACTCAGCTTGCATGTCTATTTTGAACACATTTCCAACCTTCACTCAGGTCTGTTTTTCCTGATCAACTGAGTCTACTGGGATAAGCATCACTCGGACAGATAACTCCCAGGGACTGGGCTGCCGTGGTTGGGAAGGGCCACTGGGAACATTAGTGCCAAGGTCTGAGGAAAACAGAATTGAACATATTTAAAAAGCATAAGGGAGTAACCACTGCTTGCAGCATTTGTGAGTGGATTTCAACTGCTCTAAGTCTTCTTGTTATTTATATACTTCCTTGTTATTACAGGAGATTTGTATAGGTATATCTTTGAGTATGGTGTGCCATTTGTAGGTACGGTTAAAAAGGATTTTTCCTTCTTACAGGTTTCCCTAACTACATGTAGTTTTGCTCCTAAGTATGAAGATGCTTTATCTCTAAAGTATCTTTTAAAAGGATAATTCTTTAGAGAGAAAGCATCTTCATACTTAGGAGCAAAATTACATCTAGTTAGGGAAACCAGTATAAGAAGGAAAAATCCTCTCTAAAATATCTGTTAAAAGGATAAATCTTGGGCTGGGCATGTGATCCCAGAACTTTGGGAGGCCAAGGTGGGCGGATCACCTGAGGTCAGGAGTTCAAGACCAGCCTGGCCAACATGATGAAACCCCGTCTCTACTGAAAATACAAAAAATTAGCTGGACGTGGTGGGGGGCGCCTGTAGTCTCAGCTACTTCGGAGGCTGAGGCAGGAGAATTGCTTGAACCTGGGAGGCGGAGGTTGTAGTGAGCTAAGATTGTGCCACTACACTCCAGCCTGGGCGACAGTGAGATTCCATCTCAAAAGGGATAATTCTTTTAACAAATTATGTACATTTCACTGTGTCAAATTTTCTTAGGATTTTAAATACCCTGTCACTTCATATATACCACCCGTTGCACTATTTTGTTTCCTGCAATGTTTGTGGCTTTGTTATCTCAAGTTAAAGTGGAAAGAGTTCATTCTACAGTTGTTTGTGCAAACAAAATAGCATCTATTCCTCCTACTGAATGCAAACATTAAGCAATTGTGGAATGAAGGGAGGGCTCTCCCTGTAGGACAGGGCCTCAGATCAGAGGAAATTCATTATGGACATCGTACAATGAAAAAAAGCAGCATTAGCAAATCTAGAGCTTCTGTCCAAAAAGTTGCTACTGCTGTTAAGTATTAGGAAACAATGCAGGCATAAAAATATTCACTGAGCAGTTTACGATTTATATGAATGGATGTTAGCCCTTCACTGCGCTTGAAGATCCAATCACAAAAGCTCTCCACATGGTTCATAAACTCACTTGCCTTGTCATCCAGGCTCCAACCTCATGGGCCTTCTTTCAGTCCTCAAATGAACAAAACTCCTTCCATACTATTCTTTCTTGCCTGGCTAGCACTAACTCTAACTTCAGGTTTCATCCTAAAATGTTACTTGTTAGGTCTGTCTTGACACTTGCCCTTCACAACATTTTCATTTGGATATTAATGTCTGTCATTTATACTGTCTAATAACCTAAAGAGGATAGCTTGGCACACAGTAGGTACCTAAATTATTTGTTAAATTGTTGAAATATTTGTTCAATCTGTTCAGGGCAGAGAGACCTACTATATTACTGGCCTTATTTAGATGAAACTTTTTAGAAATTGTTTTCTGCTGGAAGCAGACGTGGGGAAACAGGAAAAGCTACCAGCAGTGTAAGGAAGACAAACAGCAGAGGTCTGTGACAGGACATTTGTATGGAAAGCAGTTTCAATCTGATGCTCTAGACTAGACACTCTACTACAGGATTAGTTCTATTTATTTCAGCGTTCATCTTACCCAATAAAGGTACTACCATCATTATTCCTCCTCTCCTTTTCCTGAAAATGTTAAATGAAACATAAGGTTGATCTGGAACCCTTGTCATTCAAATAATGTCTTGGTTTGAAGCCCATCTTTAAAATCTGAGTAATTTTTCTTCAATTCTAATAAAAACCTTTCGTTTTTAAAGTAAAATCACATCAGGTAGGATGCAAACTTTACATAGTTGAGCAGATCTACATGACTGAAGTAAACTTCTTCACTTCAAGTAATTATGAACCGTAGAGGACAAGATTATTTTCCAAATCAGAGATCTTTAAAACAGAAGTGTTACTAGTTCTAAGTCTAGAGACTTTCCCTTAGAATTTCTCAGAAAATAGAAGTTTGTATTTGGTAAATGGGGTTAACAAACAGAAAATGGGGAACAGCTGTCACATTACCATAACACTTGAAGACTTCTAAAAAAGAGTAGTTCTAGGATGGGCTTACACACCTGACCAAGCCCCTCTAACTTACAAAGTTACCTGTAATTTTGGCCATCAAAGCCCTGGACCATCATGTTTCCTCTTTCTCACTTTGCCACCAAAGGTGAGATTTTAACCAATCATCTGGTTCTTTGGAAGTGAGTGGAGCCCCTTCAGTCTATGAAGTCAAGTAACAGAAGTGGGCAAGACAATGGCTGGGTCATAACTTCTGCTTGTTGGTTTCCGCGTGGGCCCATCAGCACCTTTTACTTCTTCTCTGAAACTATGGATCTGAGACACATGATCCACGTGTTCATCTGACTTGCCCTGTACCTCCTGCCCTGAAAGTATTCTGCTGGGTCCCTAGAGCCTCTTCTGGGCAGCAGCAGTTTATTGTCTGGTTGCTTCTCAGGTGCTGGAGTCAGGACCTGGCACACAGCAACAAGCAGTTCTGCGGGCAGGTCCCACTTGTGTCAGACTACATGTTTAATATTAAAAGCCTGATTTTATAACACCAGGCTGACATGGCTTGAGATGCCTTTAGAAGTATTTGATGCTATCCTTCTAGGAGCTATGTTGTTCTCTAGGAGCTTGAGGGTGACTGGAGCCAAATGACAGGCACTTCCAAAATAAAACCTTTTGGACCTAAGCGTTGGAGGTGGCATGCCGACTTTGGGCCGTCTTCATGCTCAGATTCTGGGTCTACTTTCTACGTAAAGCTCACACGCCACTGTGGGTCAAGCACAAATGCTTCTCATTCTGAGCTTAGATACACTGTTCTGACACTTTTTTCTAAGAAGGCAGAAAGAGAAGACATTTATCACTTCTCATAGTTAGAAACTAGTTCCCCTCCATCCCGCTGACCTCCACTACTTCCACGATTTGATTTTTGTTAAAACTTGACATAGGACCTGCAGCTGAGAACCAGAATTTAGGATCCTGAATATACCATGAAAGCCGTTGGACTATATTTGTTCAGCATTTCCAGGATAAGGGAACTGAATGGCTTTCTCTCCAAGTGTTACCAAATACTCAAGGCAAGACCTATGGTTCAGTTATGTAATGTCCCTGAGGAGGGTGTATTTTTTGTATGGCACAGCAGTTGGTATGCATGAGAGCTCTTGACATAACAGCACTTTTAAAACAAGCCATTTAATTAAAACATTTCACTGTAAAGAAATACCTTATTTATAAATCTGGATTTTCTGGTATAACGTATCACTCACCTGGAAATGAAACATGTAAATTGGTGTAAATTGTCCACTCAGATCATAAGATACAAACAGCGAGGGGGGCATCAAGACTCTTTACACTGTTCTGTAATTTTAGCTTCATACTCCATGAAAATACGGGATCTAGAATACTGGAGAAGGCCATCGTAGGTAATAAAAGTAGGAATCCGGTGTCTCTGCCCAGCTGATCATCCTTTCTATAAGATTCTCACAGAAGTGAAGACAGGCTGGTAACAAAGGAAAACAAAGCACCATCTTATAGTTGGGGTTTGCACCCCGGCCACCGCAGCAGACCTCTGGGTAGCTGGGTGGAGCATCTGGCCTAGAACCTTACACAGTCTCACCTCTCACCAATCCCCAGCTACAGCTGACTCCCAAGAGGAGTGAGCCAGAGAGCACCATTACGTTGGCCGCCCCAGGACCACTTACTGCTCCAGCCTCTGAGTGTACCCTATAGGATACTCCGAACTCACAGGAATAACCTAGTTCCACCAGAGCAGGCCATAAATGGTGCACTCCATTTTAACACAGACAAACACGAACAAGTAACAAAGGGAGATGACTGCGAGAGGGCGAGGCAGGTGCTCTCTTATTAGGAATGAATGGAGCTGATGTTTAACTCTGTGGGCTGTTCTGTCAATACTCTTGTTCTGAAGAGCTCACAGGAGTGAGCTTCTGGCTCATGATGGAACTGTGTGTACAGAGCTGTCCAAAGACGGACCAGCCTGTCTCTACAGGTAGAGTTCCCTGTTGTCCCAGAACTTCCAAGATGGCCTGAGGCTCAGCTTTACAGGCAGGGCCTTAGAATAGGGGCTGGCACACTAGCTGGGGGCCCAATTCTGTTAAATGCTTCTCAAACTTATCTAATTACAGAACCATCTGGAAAGCTTTTTAAACAATCATGATTTACCAAGCTGACTTCAGACCTGATGAATCAGACGCTCCACAGGATGAGGTCCAAATGGTACTGAGTTCTCTTCCAGTCCCATGATCCTATGACTTTAGAATAGCTGGATAGTGTTTAAACATTTCCTATTATTAATCTATTATTAATACACATCAGAAAAACAAACTGTTTACATCCTCAACTAGTTCTCATAAAAGTACCTAGTCCGTTTAAAAAGAGAATACACATATATCCCACATGCCCATAAATAATTTTTATGACATAAAATTAGAAACATTAGAACATCCAAATACCGCATTAAGATTAAAACATTGTTTAAGATAAATGATTACCACGTAACAATATTACTTCCATTTTAAAACACCAGTTAACGTACAAATAGGCTTTATTATTATTATTGTCTCAGAAGGAAAAAATACAAAAAAATAGGTTTCTGTAATTTTAAATGCATTTCTGTTATTTTATTATTTATATTATTTTTTGAGACAGTCTTACTCTGTCGCCCAGGCTTGAGTGCAATGGCGCGATATCGGCTCACTGAAACCCCCGCCTCCCGGATTCAAACAATTCTCCTGCCTCATCCTCCCAAGTCGCTGGGATTACAGGTGCCCACCACCACACCCAGCTAATTTTTTGTATTTTTCGTAGAGACGGGGTTCTGCCATGTTGGCCAGGCTGGTCTTGAACTCCTGAACTCAGGTGATCCACCTGTCTTGGCCTCCTAAAGTGCTGGGATTACAGGTGTGAGCCACTGCACCAGCCTAAATGCATTTCTGTAATTTTAAATGCATTTTGTGAATAAGGAAATGTGGATGCACATAAAACTAGATATAAAAGGCTATACTTTGATAAACACCAGCTAGTCCAGTACCTGGGCTATCTGGCAAAACATCAAACTTTAGTGATCAGGAAAAAGGAACAATCAGGTTTTAAATACTCAATGGTCGTTTATTATATAACTTAAACTTATTCAATACATTAAATACCTGTTTTAAATAATTACAAATTTTTAAAATTAAAGAATATGTCACTGATCTTCATGAGACTTCCAAATTGTCTCAGCAGGGGCTTCACACTTCCCCAGCAGGCGTCAGGTTTCCTGTCATGCTTTCGCCTTCCTTCTCATATAAACCAGTGCTAGAGTTCATCATGTGTCAAAACTGTAGGGGAGAAAAGTTTATTTAGCTCCTGGCATCTTAAACATAAAATTATCTTAAATATTAACTTACGTATGATGAGGAAGCACCGGTATTGACTGAGGATCCTTTATTTGCTAGTTCAGTACCTATATGCTTCATTATGCAACACGAGAATAGCTCTTTGTACACTGTGATGTCTATTAAATTGTCTCATAACTACTGGTCTTTCTACCCACCTAGAATGTGAGCTCCCATGAGTCTATGAGGACAAGGAACATACCTTACTTATCTTTGTTATCTTTAGGATCTAGCATCCTGCCTGGCAGATAAGAGGTCTTCAAGAATACTAACAGATTATTCACTGTGAATATAGTATTCTACCCTTAATGTAATGGAACAACAGAAAGCAGAGGACATATTAATATATAGTCGTCATCTAAGATGGGAGGACACCGCACTCTGACACAGACGTAAGTACTACATAAATGCAAGCACAATTCTGATGAAGACTCTTAGAGAGCAAAATGGTCTCTTCTGAATCACTGAGCTGTCACATACCAACTGACGTAAATCACTGAGAACTCAATATTTTCAGGCAGAAATTAATTAAAATATAATTTAAATGCATGCTGTTCCACAGTTCAAGACGTCAGACTACGTTTCCTCACTAAATTCTACTGGAAAGATAATAAATATAAAAAGGAAAAACAATAATGAGAATGAGGGAAGTGGTTACAAGACACTGTTGGGGCAAAGTTATCAACGAATTTCAAGAAATGGGAAACAGGGATAGACTGCATGAAACAACTTCATCCCAGAATACACAGCTGAAACGATGACTTGGCTTTCCTGATGGAGGAGTCTGGGAGAGGTTACTAACAAACACCAGTGGATAGTGAGTCACACAGTGAAGCAATTCAGTGAAGGACTGTGTGGAAAATCTGTGCCTGTCAGCTCCCCACTCTCATTCTTCTGAATCTAAGACAGAAACTAACACCCTGGCATCTATTCTAAGATAAAAAGTGGAAGTCTGTTCTTGAAAGAAAATTGAACAATTCTCAGAGACAGACAAAGAGGGAGAAATAAAGGGTGGGAGAGAGGGGGAAACAGGATTTTTTTTGTTTGTTTGTTTGGAGATGGAGTTTCACTCGTTGCCCAGACTGGAGTGTAATGGCTTGATCTCGGCTCACTGCAACCTCCGCCTCCTGGGTTCAAGCAATTTTCCTGCCTCAGCCTCCCGAGTAGCTGGGATTACAGGCATGCGCCACCACGCCCGGCTAATTTTGTATGTTTAGTAGAGACGGGGTTTCTCCATGTTGGTCAGGCTGGTCTCCAACTCCTGACCTCAGATGATCCCTCGCCTTGGCCCCCCAAAGTGCTGGGATTACAGGCATGAGCCACCGTGTCCGGCCGTAAAGAGGTATTTTTATATGGGTGTCTGCTCTTAAGTAAAGCGCCCTCATTTGGGCTTTTGGGGTGGTGTATAGGATGGGCTTTGATCTGTTCCATGACCATACACCTAGAAGGAGGCCTGCCAGTTGTACACCATGGGTTAGTAATTAACCCTCCCATCTGGGGAAGCCTATCAGAGAAAGAAGCACATTTAAACCCTGGCAAAGGAAACCCACACCAGTTATTATATTGATCAATCTCATATTTCATTCTTAAATATACATGAACAGCCAAAGATCTCCAGGTTTCTGAGGAAGAAAAAAGGGCCAAGATGAATACATAAAACAACATAAACAAAAAGGACCTGAAAAGAACCAAAGCAATATGCAAAACAGTTCTAATTGGTATTTCAGGGGATATTAGAAAAAGTGAAACCATAAAACAAGAACAAAATGAAATTAAAAAGAAGCAAGCAGGGAAAAGAAAGATCTGTTAGAAATTAAGAAGTGATTACCCCTCTAAAATAAATGAATAGAAAGATTGAAGATAATGCCAAAGAATTTTCTCAGAATACAAATGAAAGGAAAAAATATACAAGAGAAAATGTGAGTACAAAAGATCTATAGGACTAAGAAGACAGTTCTATTTACAGTAGCATCAAAAGGATCAAAATAATTAGGAATAAACCTAGGAGGTGGAACGTGTTTACTGAAAATAACAAAAAATGCTGAGATGAATGCAAGACGACATAAATAAATGGAAAGACATTCCATGTTCATGAACTGGAAGTTTAATATTAAGATGTATATACTACCCAAAGCAATCTACAGACTCAGATTCAACAAAATCCCTATAAAAACCCCAATGATGCTTTTTACAGAAACAGGAAAAGTCATCCTGAAATTCATACAGAATCACAAGGGATGATGAAAATAATTCTGAAAAAGAAGAATGAAGTTGGCAGATTCACATTGCCTGATTTTATAACATATTACAAAGCTTCAGTAATGAAAACAGTATGGTGCTGGCATAAAGACAAACAGCCCAATGGAATAGAGAGTCCAGAAATAAACTCTTGTGTATGTGATCAATTCATCTTTGATAAGAATGCCAAGAATATTCAGTGGGAAAATAAGTCTCCTTCAAAAATGGAGTTGGGCAAACTGGATATCCATACACAAAAGAATAAAGCTGGACTCTTATCTTACATGACATATGAAAATTAACTCAAAATCAATTAAAAACCTAAATATAAGACCTGAAATTATAAAACTCCTGAGGAAGACATAGGGAAAAATCTTCATGACACTGACATAGCAATGACTTCTTACATATGACACCAAAAATATAATAAAAGCAAAAATAGATAGATGGGATTATATTAAACCTAAAAACCTTTGTGCATCAAATGACACAATGAACAGAGTGGAAAGGCAACCTAGCAAATCAGAGAAAATATATGCAAATAATATATCTGATAAGCGATTAATATCCACAATATGTAAAGAAACTCTGCAACTCAAAAACAAAAAATAACTTGATTAAAAAATGGGCAAAGAACTTGAATATACATTTCTTCAAAGATGATAAATAGCAAACATAAGAAAAGATGCTCAATATCACTAATCATCACAGAAACGCATAACAAACCTACAATGAAATTATTACTTTAGACCCATTAGTATGACTGCTATATTAAAAAAAAAAAAAACAGAAAATAAGAAGTGTTGGTGAGGATATGGAGAAATTGGAACTCTTTTGCACTGCTGATGGGATTGTAAAATAATGCAACTGCTATGAAAAATAGAGGTTCCTTAAAAATTCATATGATTTGGCCGGGTGCGGTGGCTCAAGCCTGTAATCCCAGCACTTTGGGAGGCCGAGACGGGCGGATCACGAAGTCAGGAGATCGAGACCATCCTGGCTAACATGGTGAAACCCCGTCTCTACTAAAAAATACAAAAAACTAGCTGGGCGAGGTGGCGGGCGCCTGTACTCCCAGCTACTCGGGAGGCTGAGGCAGGAGAATGGCGTGAACCCGGGAGGCGGAGCTTGCAGTGAGCCGAGATCGCGCCACTGTACTCCAGCCTGGGCGACAGAGCGAGATTCCGTCTCAAAAAAAAAAAAAAAAATATTCATATGATTTGGCAATCCTATTTCTGGATATATATATCCAAAATAATGGAAAGCGGGGTATCAAAGAGATATACACACACATGTCCACAGCTGCATTATTCACAGTAGCCAAAAGGTGAAAGCAAACCAAATGTCCATCGATAGATGAATGGGTAAACAAAATGTGGTAATATATATATACTATGGAATTTTATTCAGTCTCTTAAAAGGGAAGGAAATCCTGTCATATGTTACAACATGAATAAATCTTGACAATATTATGCTGAGTGAAATCAGTCAGTCACAAAAAAATAAATACTATATTATCCCACTTACATAAAGTATCTAGAGTAATCAAATTCATAGAGAGTAGAACGATGTTTGCCAGGGGCTAGGGAGAGAGGGGGAAGGGAAACTGTTAATGAGTATAAAGTTTCAGATTTGCAACACGAAAAAGCTCTGGAGATCTATTCCAAAACAATGTGAATATACTTAACATTACTGAACTTAAAAATCGTTAAGATAGTAATTCTTGTTACGTGGTGTTTTTTTTTTTTAAACCACAATTAAAAAGTACATAAAAATTGTATAGGATTGAACCAAGAGGTATAAAAATCCAACTAGTTAGAATCCTGGACAGAGAGAACAGAGGTAAGGGGGAAAGAGGTACATTATTTAAAACAAAAACAAACAAACAAACAAAAACAAAAACACAGTGGAAAAAAAAAGTCCAAATTTGAAGAAAGGCATGAGTCATTAAACACACAAGCAAATTTACGGGATGCAATAAAAATGTGATCAGGGAAACTTATAGCTGTAAACACTAACATTGAAAAAGAAAAAAGATCTCAATTCAGCAACTCGACTTTGTAGCTTAAGGAACTGTAGCTGGTCAGGCAGGAATATGGGTAGCCTGGGTATCATATTTACAGTTGGTATCTGAAATGGGGCAGTCTTGCAGCCTGGGCCCTTAAGCTGCAGAGTGTGAAGGTTAATTCCAGGAGTTAATGTCAGAGTTGAAATGAATTACTGGAGATCCAGCTGGTGTCCAGTGAATTGGAGAATTGGTGTTAGCAAAACATTATATATTTGTTGTTAGGAAGAAAGAACATCAGATGACAGTACTGCTCAAAGTGATCTACATATTTGACACAATCCCTATCAAAACCCCAATGACACTTTTTGCAGAAATAGAAAAACCTAAAATTCATATAAAATCTTGCAGGACCTTAATAGCCAAAACAATTTTGAAAAGAAAAGAATTGGACTCACTGATTTAAAAACTTACTACAAAGCTACAGTAATTAAAACAGTATGGTACTGGAATAAAAAGAGACATATAGACTAAAGGAATAGAGAACCCAGAAATAAATCCTTGCATATATGATCAAATGATTCTGACAAGGGTGTTCAGACCATTCAATGGGGAAATGACAGTCTCTCTAACAAATTGTGCTGGGACAACTAGATAGCCACACGCCAAAGAATGAAGTTGGACTCCTACTTCATACCGT